GCCTGGGATCCAAGAATTTTCACTTTTGGATTTCCCCCAACTAAATTTTTCACCCAAATGCATATTCTGTTCCATCTTTATCTGTTCTGTAAGATATAAGCTTGAGTTTTAAGTATTTTTTAACATCACTTTTTTAAGATAAGATTGACATACAAAAATTTGTACATATTTAAAGTATACAACTTTATGAGTTTGGAAATAAGTGCACAATCATGAAAACATTACTACAATTTATGGAATAAACCTATCCATCGCCTCCAAAAGTTTCCTCCTGCCTTCTTATTTATTACTTTTTCATAAGAACACTTAATATGTATGCGCTTAGCAAATTTTTAAGTATACAATACAGTATTGTTGGCTATCAGCCCTATTCTGTGCAGCAGATCTCTAGGTCTTATTTATCTCTAAACTTCTTTTTAATAATCTTCTAGCTCTGTGTTTAGTTAATGTATTTTTATAGGTAAATACAGTTCCAACCAAAGTGATATCAATAACAGCAGGAGTCCTGAAATTAGGAGTAGGTAGAAATCCTGGATTAGGAAAGTGTGGAAGAAATAATGCTAGGGAAAGCACGAGCAGAATACTGCTCAGAGATACCACCAGGAACCAACTAGGCCATGTGGAAAAGAGCAAGGCCCAAGTAACTGTTTAGACTTCTGTGGGGTTCTGGCCTCAGGACTAATGCAATGCCAGGAGTGGAATATTACATTAAACAATTCGAAGCAGATGGCAGGTCAGGTAGATGGGGCCCCATGCTTGCAAAGACACTATATTTTGTTTCCTCCAGTCAATTGACCCCAGGCATATGGCAGCAGACTTTGCAGGCCCTGTCTACTGGTAGAGGGGAGCTCCTAGTGTACTACCTGTCTTGGCTTTCATTACCTTTAGAGTCGAGGTCAAGCTATCAACAATTATACCTGTACATTTTAAAGATATAAAAATGCCTATATGATACCCTTAAGTAAAAAAAGCAGTATATAAAAATTTATATGCAGTATTATGTTTTGAACATATATACCCACATACACATAGAAAACTAAAAGTAAATGCACCAAAATATTGGCAGATTTTTAATAGATACTAGGATTATTGATGATTTTACTTTTACTTTTCTATATTATCAAATATTCTACATGACAATTCATTTATTTTTATAATTAGAAATATTAATTAAGCTTTATTATTAATTCATATATGTAATTTGTGTATGAATTTATGTGTACTATCTTAGCCATAAATTGAGAAACTTCAAAAAGTGAAACAAAATGGTTATAACCACAAATACAAATTTGGCTATTTTATCTGGAACAGAAATTGAATGAACTGATTTCTGGGAAAATACCTAACTTAGGTCATTGATTTATAATTAAAGGAAAACAGAAGGGTAAAGTGCCCTGATATCCCTTTTTTGGTGAATCTTGTGCGAAAGAAAATTTCAAGAAATTTCATACATTTTCATGAAAGAAAATGTATCAAGAGATACAACCTTTTCACGTAAACACAAATTAGGTGATGAATGATGAAATGCACATTTTCGGCTACAACTGAGAACTTCAGTGGAGAAACCTTGAGCCAGAAGAGGAAAGAGTTTTGGAAGTGCTTATGGTTTCATCAGTGGTTTTCCACAATTCTAATGAGGAATGAGGAGTACTCCAATGATATTCTAGAGAAGAAATAGGTAATTAACATTTTTTTTGAAAAAATGTGTGCATAATATATGATATGGGAGAGTGGTTTCTGAATTTCCCATCATAAAATTCAGCATTTGCAGAGTCATAACTTAATTAGAAAAATGTAGACTTGACTGGAACTTGGAACAGGGTGTCCAGTCTTGGTCTGGAAGCACTTTAACTTTTGAAAAACAAATAAGTAAATTCTACTTATGGTTTTAAAATTCATGGGTAATTTTGCATTAATTCCAAGAAAGCAAGAGTTCAACAAACAAACAACAAAGATCAAATTGTCTAACACAGGTCAACCTTGCTGATTGAAAAAAATACCAAAAAAAATCTAAAATGAAGGTTGTACAAATTACAGCTCCTAAAACAAAGGCAATACACTTCTCTTCATAAAGCCCACTAGCTATTTTTACCTATTTTCAAGATGAAGTGTGAGTCTTGCATTCAGTTTGCATCAGAATCCACCAGGGAAAGCATTTCAGCAAGTTATTGGTAGGAAATTAGTGATCTGAACAAGCTGGATTAACTCTTTCAAAAAAGCTGGAATAGTGTTCTGTTACAGAACACAGTTTGCAGGGGCCAGGGAACCAGAGCTTTAATGCTGAATCTCAACACCTGTGGATACTAATCTGTTCAGGCCTGCATTGTTGATTAACATGCCTCTTGAAATTTAGGCTGTTTAACCTTGTGAACAAGTCCACTAAAAAAAATTTCCAGTTATGTGTGTAGTGAGAATAATTGTAGACATGTAGACATGAAGCCAGGGAACCTATGTTCATATTCCAGCCTATTTATTAGCTGTGTGACATTAAGTATATCGTCTAACCTCTCTGGATTTATAAAATCATCTATAAAATGGATATATAACAGTTGTAAGGATAAATACAAATAATTCTGTGGTTTTAAATATTTGGGAAAGTGTATATAAATAAAGGAAATAACTAGCATATCTGAACTCCATTAGAAATTACAATGACTGCAAGAAAACAGGACTAAATAGCAGCAATGTTTGCTTCCAGATGATAGGATTATGGGTGAGATTTCTGCGTGCTGTTTTCTTCTTCTTCCTTTATACTTTCATGCACTTCTCTGGAAGCACAGAGATTCCAAATAACCAGAAGAAGTAGTCTGGGTAGGCACCACTATTAGAATTATATACATCCCTTCCCTTCTGGTTAGAAAATACTGAGTGGCTCCATTTCCAAATTTCCCCAGTGGTCAATCTTTGGCATTAGATCAAACACCACAATATATTTTAGAAGGGTGTGAGAAAAGGAAAGCAAACCACTAGAACTTAAGGGCTTTGGCAATCTGAACTATGAGGTGAGTTTGGAGAGGATGATTTAAAATAAATGAGGAAAAAAGGCCTGTGGCTTCTGGCAAGAGGCACGTGAAACACCATTGCGCGGCTCTCCAGCCTCTGTACCCCATCCAGCACCATTAGGAAGGGGTGGATGTTTGCTTGCTTTGGATGCAGTATTTGGCTGTTCTTCAAATATCCCATTCGTTTCCAAATAAGTATCGCTTCTTTCAGGCCCTTAAATCGTAAGTTCAGGGTTAAGGCCCAGTGCCGCGGTGATATGGGCTATTCTGGCTTCCTGGGAGGTGTTTATAATAAGATCTTAAGCTATCATGGGTGTCATCTGTGCTCGCTATTCACTGACTTGGGATTCTCAGAAGACTCCTTCCCTTCTGAAGAGGCCTCCTCTTCTCAATTGTGGAGACTTCTATCCCTTCAAGTCCCCATAGGCCCATGGTGTTTCCCGAAAACTGGGCGAAGGGAGCATTTGAAGCTTCAGCCATTTGCTGTAGGGCAGCCTCTTCCTTCAGCAGTAATAAGAATCAGTCTTTTGTCTAGAAAAAAACAGCCCAGTAACTGCTTCCATTTCCATTATTCTCCAGGGTTGGGGACGGGTTTGCAGAGCAGTCATCTCTGAGCAGGTGGAAGTACTGTTTGATGGCTGTATTTCATGTTCAGCAAACCAATGAATCACTGTATGTTCGCACTATGCACTTCTTGTACCTGGCACCATTTGCATATTTTAACAGTATTGCCTGTGGATATGGCCCATTTAAACTGTGCCCGTGTGGGAATCATGGCTCAATTTATGTCCTCTTCCAAACCTACTGCAAAAGAGTTCACCAGCCTTTCCATAGGAGGCAAAGAAATAGATTTTTTACAGAATTAAAAAAAACGGCGATGACATTTCTTGAAATTGAATATTTTGTGAAAATCAAGATGTATTCCAAATCAAGAAGCCAGGGTTACGGTTCTGGGCTGATGGAAGATATTATAAAAGGCACAAAGAAAGAATGTCCACCCTGAGTTTCTCAGAGTTCTGCTCCAAACTGTCTTCTCACTCTATATACTCCCTCTGCTGAAGTCCAGCACCCTGGTCCCTTTGAATGCTTCCTCTTTACTAACCACCTTTATGTCAAATCTACATTCCAAGTCTGAAGCTATTTCCATATTTCCCATTTCCTATTGCTTATGCAATAATTCTGTTAAGAACGTATATAAAAGCTCATCAAATTTAACATATATAAAACCACCATTTTCTTTCCTAAACTTTGCTGATTTGTATGACTTTACAACGTTGTTTATATTATCTCCATCCACCCAACTGCCCACATTGAAAATCTCAAGGTTGTTCTTAGTATCTTCCTCACAGCTAATCAGTTACCAAGGCTTTGTAATGATGCCACTGAAATTTCTGTCACATCATCCTCCATCTTGCTACCTTATTATCAATATTTCCCGTATCCCGGTCTTCATCATTCCATCTCATATAGCATGAGAACCTTTTAAGTGGTCATTCAGTACATGCCCATATGCCACCAATATTATCATTCAAAAAGGTGGAACTGGTCACAGCATTTCCTACGTAAAAATGGTCCAAAACTCCCATAGTTAATAGTAAAGTTCTTTGGGGCAGACAGCTTAGCCAATGTTGCAGAATTTAAAATAAAACTAAAATACAATGCATACCAACCTGGCTCAGTTAACTAATCATTCCTATTAAGTTTTCAACTAACTTCTCTCCCCCTGCAGCCTGGCCCATGTATGCTGGCCCCACATGCAGGCCTCCTCCATGGCCTTAGATCCTTTACATGTCCACTCCCCTGTCTTCATTCATTCTAATTCATTCCCCTAGAAATTATAACCTTCCTCCTAGACAATTAATTGCTTTCTCATCTACATTTCCAGAGAAATTTATATATTCATCTCTTACAGCACTCTTCATGCTCCATCTTTGTTATTTATGTGTGTCTCTCTCTCCTATAAGTTTTAATGCTTCAAGGACAAAGATTGACCCTTACTTATCTTTACATCACAGGCCTTGTGCTGTACACCTGCCAAAGAGGAAGTGCTCCAGGAATATTCTCTGAAATGAATTAAGAAAATGCTTTTGTTGCTCATGATGAATAAGGAAGCCACCTGGAATTCCTAATCCACCTGACTAGGGCTTCAAAACCACAAATTCCCAAATAGTTACTGCTAGCACTGAAAATGCTTGAAAGAAATGTAATAGGGTCCAGAATATCCCAGTGAAATTCAACTTGTTTATTACCATAGGACTTTGGCCTACCAAACCTGCCCTTGTCACTTAGATCCAGTATGCAAGATTTGAAGACAATTTTGGCTCTAGCCTAAGATTTTTTACCTGTTTCTCCTGCCTTGACCCTTGGAATCTTGTGGGAGCAAAGAATAGAAAATGCACCAAAAAATAAGAGATTGATTTTTATTGGGCAGTTTATTATTACCACTCCTTAACACACACACACACACACACACACACACACACACACACACACTTCCACCCTTAGTAGAAGGGCATGATTTTTTTTCTTGGACTTTGCCCCATGTCTCTATTTCTTTACAAAAGGCTGGGATTTGACCTTGAATATAATAACTCTGATTTTTATTCTTCCAAAATTGTGAGGTCTTTCTTAGTGGTAGTTGTCACGGCAATACTAAGTACAAAGAATAGTCTTTTGTAGAATGTCCTTTCCTACTTTCTGGGGACTCTCATAAGCTGAGAAACATTGGGCATGAGAGGGAAGAGACACAGAAGCTTTTTAAATGGCAGATGATGTGGTCAGAGCTAAGCCCTGGCAAGATAACAGTGAAAGCCACACAAAAAAATGCATTGGAGCAACAGGCTTGAGGCCAGGAGGCCAGAAAGGAAGACGCTTGCAAGATCCTTGGTAAGAGGTCCTGAGGTCCTGAATGAGAGTAGTGGTAATGGAGAAGGAGGCGGCAGGCAGAATGCTAGTGGCCATATTCATGATAGAAGTATATGCACTGGGAGCGATCATCAGTTGTCCTTGGGTTTTATTGAGACTTATAAAAGACACAGCACCAAATGGTTTACATTCATTAAGTCACTGCAAACCTGGAAAACCGATCAATGAAGTATCCTTTCCATTTTGGATTCCAAAACTGAGACCTAGAGAGGTAAGTAAGTTACAGAAGGTCACACACTTCTTAACTGGCAGAACTAGACTGTGAATTTCATTCAGTCTGACAGTCTCCAGAGATTCTGCCCTTCTGTTTAGAAGGTAGGATGAACAAGACTCACTGAGCTTCTAAAAGAGTGTGGAACACGAAGGAGAAGGAAGTGCCAAAGGTACCCAAAGCTTTGTGCCAGGATGACTAAGAGCTCTCGGTGATCCCCTTAGTAGAAGTAAGGGCTCGGGAGAGGGAGGAATGTATTTCCTGGTGGGGATGAGTTCAGTGCTGTGTGGTAAGTTTGAGATGCCCATGAGATATCTACAATAGGCTTCTGGGGAATAAGCCATAGAGTTATTTTCTCAAATGCTTTGAGGACCAAATTTGGATTATAAAAATGGGCATATGGATCAACCTTCAAAGGCAGATATAAGAATTGAATCTCAATGCTTGGCACCATCTAACATTCCTGAAGACCCTAGATAATGCAGTCCAGCTTCTACTTTTATTTCTAAGGGAAGAGTCAGTATATATTTTGTATTATTGTAGCATATTTCCTCCATAGCCCTGGGCCTACAAGTCAGTTCCTTCCTTTGCAAAGCAATTATTTCACAATAATTTGCATTTCCTCTGGAAAGCATGCAAATTTGATACTAGGGTAGAAGCCCATGTATTCTGATTTTTAAACAATATATCAGATAGTATATCTTGCTAGTTCCCCAGATTTTGTTGTTGGTGGTAGTGGAGCTTGAAAATTTTTTTCTCCATTCCTGTTTGAAGCAACATTAGTTGATATTTTCACCTTCTCTCTCATATCTACCACTTTCTTTTCTTTCCTTTCCCTTCTTTTCTTTCATCTTTCTTTTTATTAAGATACAATTTTAGTTCAGTGTGTTGATGAGTAGATTTGCTATCATTTGGCAGATAAAGCTCCTGGTTCACACACTATAATAATCCTCCTGGTTACTAATTCTATATGCTCGTGTAAAGGGGATATACTAATTTGAAAACCTTTATGTGATATAAAGACTAGAAAAGGGAGAGTTAATAAATATTTTGAAGTAAATATTTCTAAGAGATTCATTGCTACATGTAAATTAACCACAGAGCTCAAAGCACTTCTTAAAAAAAATCTTTCAATATACAGTCATGTACCATATAATGATGTTTCAGTCAATGACGGACCACACATAGGACAGGGTCCTGTAAGATCATAATGAGGCTGAAAAACTCCTATTGCCTAGTTACATCACAGCCAACACAGCACATTGCTCATGTGTTTGTGGTGATGCTGGTGTAAACAAACCTGCTGCACTGCAAGGCATATAGAGCGAAGCACATACAATTATGTACAGTGCATAGTACTTGATAATGATAATAAATGACTATGTTACTGGTTTACGTATTTACTGTACTATTTATAATAATTTTAAGAATGTACTCCTTCTACTTATAAGAAAAAGTTAACAGTAAAATAGCCTCAGGAAGGTCCTTCAGGAAGTATTCCAGAAAAAGGCCTTGTTTATCATAGGAGATGACATCCCCATGTGTGTTGCTGCCCCTGAAGACTTTCCAGTACGACCAGATGTGGAAGTGGAAGACAGTGATGTTGATGATCCTGACCCTGTGTAGACCAAGGCTAATGTGTGTGTTTGTGTCTTAGTTTTTAACAAAAAAATATAAACAGTAAAAGGAAAAAAAAATTTAAATTTTAAAAATAGAAAAAATGTTTACAGAATAAAGATATATTTTTGTACAGATGTGTAACATTTGTGTTTTAAGCTAATTGTTATTACAAAAGAGCCAAAAAGCAAAAAAAAAACTTTAAGTTTATAAAGTAAAATGTTACAGTAAGGCAGGGTTAATTTATTATAAAGGAAAGAAAACTATTTTTCATAAACTTAGTGTGGTCTAAGTGTATAGTGTTTATAAAGTCTATAGTAGTGTACACTAATGTCCTAGGCCTTCACATTCACTCACCACTCACTCATTGACTCACCCAGAGCAACACCCAGTCCTGCAAGCTACCTTCTCGGTAAGTACCCTACACAGGTGTAACAGTTTTTTTATCCTTCATACTGTATTTTCATTGTGCCCTTTCCATATTTAGATATGTTTTAATACACAAATACCACGGTCTTAAAATTGCCTGTAGTATTCAGTACAGTAACATGCTGTACAGGTTTGTAGCCTTGGAGCAATAAGCTTACCATATGGCCTAGGTGTGTAGTAAGATATATTATATAGGGTTATGTAAACATACTCTGTGATGTTCACACAATGATGAAATTGTCTAACGATTCATTTCTCAGAATGTATCCACATCATTTAGCAACATGACTATATAGAAAGAAGAAAAATAAGTGAATGATATGTAGATGGGCATTTCCATTTTTAAAAGACTTACTGATTCAGATTTATGTAAATTTCATATAAGTCTAATTCAACAAATATTTTTAGGTACCTATTTATCTTATGTGAGATATTCTTCTGAGTACCATGCAGGATATAAAGAAGAAAATGCCATTGTTTATCTATTCTAAAGAAGTTTTTATTCTAATAAAAAAATAGACTAGGATTGATGAACACATATCATATGTTCCATATTTTCTAATTCTTTCCTCATGGCAGACATTACTAATCATTTATGGCATTATTTTCCATGGAATTGGACAAAATCTCACTCTCTGTTTTCATATTGTGATCCAGGCATTACCACCAATCAATCTAATTTGGCCCATGAAATAAAACCTATTTGTCTCTGAGGGCTAGATAGATACATACAAATTAACATTTCAGACAGATTGTATTAAATGCTCCTTAGAGAATCAATATCATCTTTCAGGAAGAGAGAGGATAAGAGAGATTGATTTGAAATGGAGGCTCTTTGGAAAGACTCCATGAAGAATGTGGCATTGAGCTGTACATTGAAGGATGAATGCATCGTTCATTCATTCATTTGTTTGGTGATTCACAGATCACCTGGTACATCAGGCACTATGCTGAGTACTGAGTTCAATCATGCATTTGATTCAAGTCCCAAAACCACCACTTAGTTTCACCAGAAAATTTAGAAAATCCCTGAATCTGGATCTAAGTTTCCTCATCCATTCACTAAGGAGACAAGATGAGATGATAATTAGCAGACATGTGGCTCTTTAAGTTCTGTATTGCTGTGTAAATTATTTTGGCCAGAAGCATGATAAAGTCATTAACCTCCACCCTTTTTCAGCATTCCCTAATCCAAACTATATTATAGTCTAGCAAAATATCTAAGGTCTCTGATTGCAGTCCAAGAGTGAGGAAGAAATGAATGTGGTTAAGATGGAGCACAAACCCAACCCCCTTTCACTAAGCGTGCTGGGCTGAGGATGGAGGGTCTTTTTGCAGATCAGTGTTTAGTCACAGTAGGCCAGCTGGTAAAAGGAGCAATCACAACTCTCAGTGCCTTAATGCCAGGCAGTTGGGACTCCGCACCACACAATCACTTAGGGACCCAGGATCCTCCTATCTGTGTCCTGGCCATCTCTAGGGTCTCAGAGTCCTCTAGAAAATGCCCTGCATGCAGCCACCCAACAGGGAAGTTGTCATATAGAAGGCATACCAGCTCTTAACCCCTCAACCCCAGATGTATTAATAACACTGATCACTTCCATTTCACTGGTGAGAATTTTTCTCAAGACTATATTTAGATGCAAGAGTGATGGAAGTATAATATAGCTGAATGCCAGAGAAAAAATAAATAGGATATGGTGATTATATGGTATTTTCTCTATCGCACTCTAACTGGGAGGTGGTGGATAACCATTTTTGTCTCACTTTTACTCAGAATATCTGTTCTCTTTTGTGGCATTTTAGAGAGGAAAGAGATGCTCTCAACATTGTGGAGGAAAGAATTCCTTCATTGGTGCTAGAACCT